CTTAAAATCCAAGCCAATCATGAAAATTTTTGTAGGACCTTTTTTCTAGGGCTCACTCCGCTCTACAAAAATGCTCTTATCTAAAATTTCGCTATCTGCTCTAGATTCCGAGAAATTTCCCAATATTTCAAGTAAACTCGACAAGTTTTATGTCTTCACGTCAAGTATCAATAAAAAAAATGTTCAAATGAAATAATTACCTTCTGGACTGTATTTCCGACTGGGTGCACCATTGCTGCACTTCTCCAAGAGGAGTGCATCCTGCTGAGTGACAACCAGCTGATTGGGCTCATCGATCTCCTCCTTAATCCGATAATTATCAAGTGCCTCCGTCACGAGGTGCCCCACAGGATAACAATCTCCTCCACTGGAGAATCCATCCTGTCCCTCATTGAATAAATTCGTTGGATCCCCCCGAATAAAACTCAGATCAAACTCCTCGACAGCCTGAACAACGCTAAAATTCTCTTCATTATTCAACTCAAACTGCATTCCCTGGTAGTCCTGTGGCAGTTCCTGATAGTTCTGCTCGTCATAATAATTATTGCAGAAGTTCCTGGAGAAGGAAAAGGCAGTGCTAACCGGTGGCAGTCTGATGCCATCATTGGAGTACTCGTAGTCCTGTCCAGTCCAGGATGTTGGAGTGTTGACTTCACTTCCAGTACTTCCTGGTGAATTTATTCCAATGGTCAGTCCACTGACTCTTCCAGTCGGTGGATACTCGAAGACATTGAGGTGCTCCCAATCATCACGCGGAGATGAGAAGTCTGGGGACCAGCAGAAGGTACCTTCCATGGGAGTTGATGGAGTTGGATCCATCATGAAGGAGAAGTCCTCGGTTGCTTCCATGTTGCTCTGGGGAATTGTCTTCTGGATTGATAAAAGGTCCAGCATCTCTAGGTCCAGGACATGAGATGGTGGGATTTTTCGGGGATTAAATTGAAGTGGATGAACTGATGATGATGTGAGGAGACACCAGGGCGTACTGACCCCAGTCTTTTAGTCTTCGTCTCATCTTCCAGGGAAATCCCCCACTCTGGAGTCATCCAGGGCCCAAAGGGAAGCTAGAATCATCGAGACACCGCCCACTCGCGTGGCTCTTCTCCCTTTTAGATCTTCTTCGAGCTTCTTCGGGTGCATACGTGACTCAAACATGTCAAGCACTTGCACCCGGGGTCCGTTAAACCGGGGGTGACTAACATCTGCTACCATCGTCCGTCATCTTGCCTTTTTTTTCTCTTCTTGATTCCATTTTTATGGATTTTTTTGCCCGATCCGTCGAGAAATTCATTTTTTACTTGACCACGGAACGGAGAGTGCGTTGTCCTTTCGAGAGATTTTTTTTTTGTAGGGAAGAGTGTTGTGGGAAAATATGGGTTTTCTCGTTTTTCCTTTGACTTTCTCACCAAAATGTTTGGATTTGAACATGATCCCTTAATACAGGAGCTCTTCGGATTCCATTTCGTGGGAAATTCGAGACGGGGGTAGAAATTTTGGGGTGGAGCCTCGGAAATATGATTTATTTCACGCAAATGTGAGGACAAGTGGAGAATCACTCCTTCATTACATACAGCTCAATCATTTTTGATAATAAATTAGCAATGCCTCTCCGAATTCTCATTTGCAATCATGTGAAAATTTCGATAAAGTGTTAGGGCAGAGTCGGGCAAAATGGGATACGGAAGAAAAATAAAACAGTTGTAGAAACCCTTTTTTAATTCATAAAATATTAAATACCCATCAACCTTGAATCGCTCATCTTTTGGTTCTGATCCTGAAATTCCTCACATTTTAATTTTTTTTTATTAAAAATTAACATTTTTTTGATTACTCAAGTGTAATAAAATTCTGGAAAAACTGCAATATTAAATGATAAATGGGATACAATCGATTTTTTTTCTCTCTTCCCCCACCTCCACCCCATTTTACCCTGAGTCCCACCTTGCCCGGGTCTTCCCTGCGAAAAGTTTCTTCTCTATCTATTGGAGTACTTAGTTAAATTCGTAGAATTAATTGAAGACCTGGGTGGCCTA